TAGCTAAGGAATTTTGAAAACTGAGTTAGCTTGACAGTAATGGTGGGTTAAGGGGCAGCTAGGTGGCACAGTGGATAGAGTATTCTGCAGTCAGAAAGACTCATCTTCCTAAGCACAAATCTGGCCTCAGACACATCTTAGCTGTGTAACCCTGGTCAAGTTACTTAATCTCATTTGCCCCAGTTTCCTCATCTGTAAAATATGCTGGAGAAAGAAATGACAAATCACCCCAGTATCTTTGCCCAAGAAAACCCCAAATGGGTCATGAAGACTCTTGGAAGAATCAGACAAGACTGAGAAGGCGCAACAACAAAAAGTGGTGGGTGCAATAGTCATTGGCTTTCACCTTAGCTCTTAACTATAGCCACGTCGATGGGGAAGGTAAGTCAGTAGACTTGGACACATCAATATTGAAACAAGAAGGGACTTGTCTGTTATTTACAGCCCTGTGTCCTTCACCTTTAAGTCACATTACATCTGAAAAGTATTGAAATGTTAAAAGTGCTATGTGCTGTGGGAAGTTTTTTATTTTATTTTATAAAAGTGCTATGTGCTGTAGGACGTAAAATTTTTATCAACCCCATTCAAACCATTTAACTATGGAAAAATGGTGAAATGAACAGAAACCACAAAAATACATACCCTTTATGAACATATGTTGTAGCATTGTCTGGTTCCAAGTCAATACATTTATCATACATTTCATCTGCTTTACCAAATTGTTGCTGATCTGTTAGTGCCTGTGAGGTGACAGTTCATTGAAACTGAGTAACTTGAGTCACTTAATGCAATTTTAAATTATAATTGCTTAATATCATTGGCTGGTTGTTTTAATTTTCTACATTTCAATCACTGGTTTCTATGCATTCTCCCTCAATTCCCCAATCAAGCTGAAACTTGACTACCTTCTTCCTTTTTGGTTCAATAAGGTTATACAGAAGAGCAATCATGTATTTCATGTGTATATGCATAAAATCTACCAGTTTCATTCATAATCCGGATGCCAAATTCTTAACCAAATATATTTTACATCTTAACAGTTCTGTACTTAAAAAAAAATGTCCATCAATAATATTTGCTCTCTTCTCTGCATCACAATATTTTAAAAACCTACTCCAAGAAGTACATGTTAGAAATGCTTTCATAATAAACGATGCTCAATTCTCCTCTTTAGTGATAATTTTAACCAGGACCCTGCACCTTACCTTTAAAATGCATTTTTAAAAAATACGTATGATATACCCATGATGAGGCATTAAACACAGAATGCTACAAGGAGCCTTCAACTTCCTTTCATAATGCTTAACCAAATGATCAATTGTGTAGTGGTTTCACTAAGTAGGGAGCACACAAACTTAAGACTGTTATGACTTGCTTCTTCACATACTCCTTTAAAAAACTCCTCTCCTCAAAAGGTGCCCCACGAGTACCAGCACATTTTCTATATCCTTAAGGTAAAGACAAGAGGAAGGCAAAAGAGCAGGTTTGCACTGGACATCTTCCTGTCTTTGCTTTCATTTACATCTCCCTTCAGTTGCCAATCCTATGTAAAAACTGAATTCCTACCCATCTTTTAAAGCTAAATTCAAAAGCCAAATTCTCCAAAAAGCTTTCCCTGATTGTTTAGTTAGTAATCAGTCAATAAACAGTTATTAAGAACCCACTATGTGCCAGGCACTATGATAAGGTCTGGAGCTATAAAGAAAGGCAAAAGACAGTTTCTGTTCTCAAGGAGCTCACAGTCTGGTAGGGGAGACAGCACACAAACAACAATGTACATAAGATTTATTTCCAGTTTAACCTGCAAACTGGAAATAATCAACATATTATTTATATATAACAACATTACTCAGTGGGGTGGCGGGGGGAAGGATCAGGAAAGCCTTGTAGGTGAAATTTTAGCTGGGATTTGAAGGAAGCTAGGATGCAGAGATGTGGAAAAAGAGCATTCCATTGATGGGAGATAGCCAGGGAAAACACATGGGAGCCTGGAGATGGAGAATCTTGTTTAAGGAACATCAAGGTAATCAGTGTCACTGGATTGCAGAGTACATATATGGAGGAGTGTAAGGTAAGGTCACTGCAGATAAGTGGTCAAAGATATAACAAACAGCTCTCAAGACAATCACTGGAAGTTATTAACTATAAGGAAGAAGGCTGTAAATCACTACTAATAAGAGAAAAGCAACAATTTCAAATTTTACGTTTCAAGGTTTCAAGTCACATCCTGCAAATCGTTGAGATGAGAAAATATGGGAAGTCAATGCTGCTTGAAGGGTTGTGGAAAGGTGGGTATACCAATGCAATACTGGTAGAGCTGTAAATTAGTATAATCATTTTGGAAGGCAATCTGGAATAATACAAATAAAGTGGCTAAAATATTGACCCAGAGATTCCACCACTATACACGTACCCCAAGAAGTCAATGACAAAAAGGTAGGGCACCATATTTATAGCAGCGCTCTTTATAGTAGCAAAAAAGTAGAGACAGTAGATAGTCATCCCATCTACTGTGGAATAACTAGACAAGTAATATACATTATAAAGGATTATTACTGTGTCCTAAAGAAAAACAAAATACAGAAACAATACAGAAGCACGGAAAGACTAATTCAAGATAAAATAATCAAAACCAAGAAAACAATAAACACAATGATTCAACGTAAATGGAAACAACCTCCACGAAACAAATATAAATATTACAAAAATATAAATAACAAGAGTGGCCCCAAAGAAGAAATATGAAAGAACACCTTTCCCTCCTCTGACCTTAACTCCTTTGCAGAGGTGGGAGGTCCACAGGTGTGGAACAATACTGCATATGTCAAGATTTGAGGTTCCGATAAGTTTTGCTGCTTTTCCATCCCTTTTCTTCCTTTTTCAAAAATTCTATTATAAGGAATGGCTTTTAGGGGTTTGAGGAATAGGAGGAAATCTAGGCAATGTAAAATCAAAAGACAAATAAAAACCAATTTTTTAAAAAGAGGTGATGGGGACCTGATCTAGAGTACGGAACGAATACAGAGAAGGGAATAAGTTCAAAAGATGTGGATGCACAATCCACAGAACGTGGCAACTGATATGTAGGTGGGAACAAATGAAGAGTCAAGGACAACAGTGAGGTTCTGACCTTGGGTGATCAAAAGGCAGTTGGTGATGTGGGACTGCAATTGAGAATAAAGTCAGATCTGGGAGTAATTCCCTGCATAGATAATAATTGACTCAATAGGAGCCAATGAGATCAGTGGGAAACAACGTAAGGAGAAAAGTCTCAGGACAGAACATGGGAGTATACTCACAGTTGGGGGGCTAGTTCTCCATGACAAGATAGCAAGAGAGATTTGACACTAAGTGGTTTATACAGGTAGGAGAACCAAGAGATACAGTAGGTCAAAAAACTCAAGAGATGAGTATCCAGAAGAAAGATGGTCACAGTCAATATTACAGAAGTCAAGAAGGATATGGACTGAAAAAGCAATTAAGAGATGACTGGTAACCATCTAAGAAAGTTATTATTACATGTTGCTTTGTTTTTGTAAGTAGAAAAGAAAGTCTCCAAATTCAACTCAAATGTTCAAATCAGGTGGGTGTTCAGCTGTGAGCTCTTATTTTTTAGTCACCTGTATTTTGGAGTTAAGTTGCTGCTTCAAGAGGAATCTGTTGGATAATACAGAATTCCAAAACATGGTCTATTTTGCCATGTCAGAGGACTACTGTCTGCATCTAACGCAGCATTCCTAACTATGTTTATGCCCTGGACCTCTTTTCAGAATAATGTTTTTTAAGTATTTTAAGTGAGATTACAAAGAAAGCCAGTTATATTAAAATAGTTAAAAAGGAATTCACAACTAGCTGTGTGACCCAGGGCAAGTCACTTTGCCCCAACTGCTTCACCCCCCCCCCCCCCCCCAAAAAAGGAATTCAGAGTCCCCAAGTTAAGAAGCCCTGATCTAAAGCAACATAAATTAGCAGTTACATGTATCTAAGCAAGGTACATTACTTCTAGAGAGACTAGATCTTTCTATTCTGAATTACCAGAATTCAGAGTTTACTGAGAATTGGTTAGAGGATTTTAGTGGGAATTTGCTTAGCGAGACTAATAAAATGTCTACCATCACTTACCTGGGCATACAATGCATAGCCTTCAGCACACCTTGGAAATTTCTTTATGACATCCTCAAAGCCTTTCATAGCTGCTTGGACTTGGGTAGAGTTGTTTCCTGTGTAAGCTTGACGATACTGTTTTTGAAAACAAACAAAATACACACTCATAGCAGGCCTGTCAAACTAGGAACCCCCATCATGAAAGAGCACCAGCCCAGAGTCAGGAGGACCTTGTTCAAATATGGCCTCAGACACTTGCCACTTACTAGCTGTGTGACTCTACCCCACTGCCTAGCAAAAAAAAAAAAGAAAAGAAATATGCTAGCAAAAAGATTTGTTAGGGGCATTTTGACACCCCTCATTCTTAATAATATATCATTTCATGTTGACCACTTCATTAAGATATTTAGTTATAAGAGGAAACAAATAAATTGGCAGATTTCTAAGTCTTTGCAATGTGGCAACATTTTTATTAGTAGTCATTGTCATAACGGTGCCTTCTGAAAAGAGCAAAATTCATAGACTCAGTGTTATAGATAGCTCAATTTTTACTCATACTCAAAATTTACTTAGCTATAAAACACATCCCTCATTTAAAAGGAATAATTTTTTTTCAGAGTCAGTAAGGCACAGTGGATAGAGGGGATAGCCTCAGAATCAGAGAAAAATAGGTTCAGGGTCTGCAAAATTACCAAGCCTTTTAGTGGCACCTCTCAACATTTACAAGAGTTGCCACTTTGCATTGGTGGAGTGAGTTAATCACATCCTGGCCCAAAAGAGTTTTCTAATCTGAACACTTAAGCCCTTAGACTTATTTCACCATTTAGAAAGAAAAATCCAAATTTTATATTTTCAGTCCTACCCATTTGAACATTAACAATAGTATTGTTACTAGAGCAGCAAGAGTAAATACACACCTTAAATCAAATGCTCAGAGAATGTTTATTATTAAAGTTCACTGAATAATGAGGCAGGAAACCCCTCCATTCATAAGTGAGGATGGGAGCATAGCTTTAGAGGTCAAAGGTCCATATTGTGCACCTAATCTAAGCCTCTCATTTTACAGCTGAGGAAACCAGGGCCCAAGAAGGTTAACTGATTTGCTGAGAGTCGCACAACTAGTAAATATCAGCGGTAGGATGGACATCCAGTACTTCTAACTCTAGAGCAAGTGCTTTGGGGTCATGGGACATTAAATATGGTTCTGAGCTGAGCAGGACCTGACATCTACAAGATGAAGAAAAATAAAAAATATCAAAGTAAACACACACAAAATGGTCCTTAATAGAATTTTTTCATATACAAATACCCCTTGTGAAACTGACAAATTAGATAATGAAATAAAATCAACTTCAGTAATATTTTAAATAAGGAAGAAATGCCTACCAATGCAAAACACTTTTGAGCTTGGGCCAGGGCAGAATCAGGTCGTAATCTAATACATTCATCAAAATCTGCCACTGCTTCTTCAACCTGATCAAGAAGGATCTTTAACTAAAGAAATAAAAACAAAATTAATTCTTATTCCCAAATTATTACATAAAAAGCAAGCATCAGCACCAATATGGAAAAAATGCATTTTGTCTAAGACTCATTATTTGCACGGTTTTGAATAACACTAAAATACTAAATGCATATTTGCTCTCCCTCAAGAAACAAAGTAATCAGGAAATATTATTCTAATGCCTACATCAATTTTTCCCTTGATCCATACATAGGTTTTACCAACTCCTTTCTACTGTGTGAGATTTTTTTTTTTAAATTAAAGAAACCCGAATTTTTCTATTGCACAAGCAACAGAAGAACCTGCACATCTTACATGAAAATATGTTTCTAGAAACAATCATATGATAACGATTTTCCCACTGGGGAAAAAAAAGATGAAAATAACATATTGCATTCCTAACCAAAGACGTCAAAGAAATCAGATATGACAACAATCAGAAAAGCAAAAGGTACGACAGCTACAAAATTCAAGTAATTTATATTTTAAAAAATTTGATTATTTATTTCTTGTGCTAAAAACAGGCCTAAAGTGTACTACAGTTAACGTAGATGATATGGTTATAGAGGAAAATCCAAGGTACATAAAATATAAAGAGTTTTAGATTAATAGCTGTTGTGATATGTTTGTTCCTAACATACACTTGAAATTATTCTGCTGACCTGTGGCAACTTAATAAATTTAGGGTATTCATGTTTCACATCCTACTAAAAACTGCTTTTAAAGTAAAGGCAGACAACATTTCTCTGCTTTATCCTCTTTCTTAGCATCAGAAGATCACAGATCCAGAGTTGGAAGGGGCCTCAGGGCATCTAATCTTACTCCTACATTTTACAGAAGAGGGAAACAAAAAAAGGTCTCCAGGACATTCTGCTTGATACTTTGTTTCTATAAAGCCGGGACTTTATACTTCATTAGAAAGCAATAATTTCCATGGTCATTACTGTCTACTTCCTTTAAAAAAAAAAATGATAGGTCCAAGACTGCTCAGTGTAATGACTATGGGACTACATCCCTAACACTTCTGACTGGGAAGGCCTTGTTGGCATAAGGCAGGCAAACCCAGACAAGGAAATAAATGAAGGCATTATAAATCAAGATATTAGTAAAAACATAACTACAAAAACCTCTAGAAAATGTAAGATCATTTCCAAAGGTCAGAACATTAAGGAGAAAATTGTGTTTACCTGTCCTCGGTGGTGGTAGACATCTGCATTCTGGGGATCAATATCAGCAGCCATGTTAAAATCCTGAGTAGAGAGCAAAGGCTGCTGCTGTTGCATATACATGCTGCCTCTTTTGATCAGGGCATTTGCACGAAGCTGTTGATCCAAACAAATGAAAGACTGAAAATATCTGGTGTTATCAACACCATCCTTTGAACTCTTACAACACTGTCTTTCTTATGGCACTTGTTACATTTTACATTGTATCACAGCTATTTGTTCACACTTCTCTCTACTGTTACACTGTAAAAGGGCAGCATGGCCACTGGACAGAGGACCAGCCTTGCAAGTCCTGAACTTCTCAAACATTCTGGCAAGACACTGAACCTTCCAGTGTCCCAAGGACACTGAAACACTCTTTTAAGTTTCAGATAAATTACTCCTGGAGTCCCCCTCCCTCCCTGAGGGGTCACAGCAGCTCTGGCCCAAATCCTACTCAAAACACTGAACTATAAACTCCTCAGGGACAGGTCTTCTAGTTCTTCACTTCCCACCCAGCAAGTATCCCCGCCCCCAGGCTCCCAGTTAAGTGTGCACAGAGGGGTGAATGTCAGTGCTGACAGTGAACTTTCCTTCTATTTACGATTAGGAAATGAGAAAGGGAAGTTTTAAGTCAAAGCTTAGGAATGGAAGCACATATCAATTTCTATCTCAACTAGTTAAACATCTCACTGTCTTTCTAATCTCATTGGATAATTAGGATTAGACAAAACATAAACATGTAATTATCTGAGTGTTTCCTCTTGGGGAATTTACTAGTTGAATAGCTCACAATCTAATGATGATCAACATCAATAATAAATAGCCTTTCTTTTCAGTGAAGGAGAAAGACCAGTTAAAGCAGCCACTTTATAAAGAACCAGAGGCATGGGAAGCTTAAGTAAATTACCCAAGCTAACCAGTGGTAAAGCCCTAGTTTTTTTGCAAATTAAAGTAACTTTTCTGCTAAATACCCTAAAACTGCTGTTAAGTTTATACAATGAGTGCCTTTGTGAGCTTGTATTACTGTGCCATCCATTACCCACAAGGGTCTCACAACAAGAAAAGCAACGCAACTCCTGATTTTCCTTTGTCATCTCACTGCATGTAGAATGGCTGGGTAAGAAAAATGACACTGACCCATAGCAGAATAAAATAAAACCTTTCCTAGGGAAAGACCATTGATATTTTGTTTCATTCCACTCACTCAAACATTATCAGGGCATTTTACGTCCAGAACAAATAAGTATCTTGATAATAAACGTGTATGGGCACTACATGAGGGCAGTTAGGTGGTAAAGTAGGTGAAGCACTGGGCCTGGAGTGAGAATGACTCATCTTCCTGGGTTCAAATCAGGCCTCAGACAATTACTAGCTGTGTGACCCTGGACAAGTCACTTAATCCTGTTTGCCTCAGTTTCCTCATTTGTAAAATGAGCTGGAGAACGAAATGGCAAACTACTCTAGTATCTTTGCCAAGATAACCTCAAAGGGAGTCAAGAAGAGCCAGCCATGACTGAAAAACAAGAGTACTATTACAGAACAAATCTTTAAACAATTATTTCCCTTCCCATAACACTATGGTATATCAAATAGGAAAAAAAAAAAAAAAGGAAAGAAAAAAATTTACTTTTTTTACCTTCACATTGGCATCTTCCATGCTGATGACCTGATCTAAATCTGGCTTAGCTGCATTGGCATTGCCAATAAGTAAGTAGAACGTGGCTCGTAGCAATAACGCTTCAGCTAAATATTTACCTCGAGCATCTATTTCTTTTGTGCACTCACTTATGATCTTATCATAGTTTTCTTCTTCCATATATTGCTTAGCCTTTAAATATCCAGAGCTAGAAAAAATGTCAATAGAGAAAACTATTCATTAACTTCATACTTAAATCTGGCCATAATCAACGTGTCAGGGTAAGCAAACAATAGCTTCCTCAAAACAGAAACCTGGAACTGGTCTGGTATAAAGACCTAAATGGTGAATATGAACATGAACTGCAGCACCTGATACTCAGAGAATGCTTTAAGGTTTAAACAGCATGTTGCTCATCACATAAAATGTCATTTTCGACATTTGGAGAATTATTTAACAGGGAAACAGAGATTAGACTTGGACCAATTGCCAGTTACAAGCATGTAAATTCTGTCACAACACAGGGTTGTCCCAAAACTCAAGACTTTTGAGACACCTGGTGTATGGAAGACGAAATAATTAGAGCTGTCTCAAAATGGAACGAGTTTCTTGAAACATTTAAAGCAGAGATTTTTAGGGATACATGAAGGAAATGCTATAGTGGACAGGAGGTCAGACTATGTCCCTGAACATCTTTCCAACTATTAAGATTCTAGGGTAAGTACTTTTACTCATGAACCATTGCATTATTAATATACAAGGAGACTTTAAAGAATTTTAAAATTTAAAACAAAATAAAACTTATTTTTGATGCTGGGCCCTTGAATTAATGCTCATAAACTCACATATGTTTTAATATGCTCAAGATCCAATCATTTCCCAAGATGAAAATCAACATCTCTTGTTAAGTTTGGAAGTATCTCCTAGGAAGTGATTAACAAAAGGTAAAAATTTGGGAGAAAAATCACAACTGCTGCCCAATAAGGGAGGTTATTTGTTACAATGGAAAGAATAGTAGGAGTAAGAGAGCATCTGGGTTTAAAACCAGCTGCTGAAGCCTGTTAGGTACTTTTATTCTGACCTTGTACAAACAGGTCAACTCATCTTTGGGCCTGTAGCAGGAAGATCTGAGTTCAAATCCAACCTAAGATACTATGTAGCTGTGTGACTTTGAGTAAGTCACAACTTGAGTTTACTCATCTGTAAAATGAGGATAATCCCAGCCCCTATCTCCCAGGATTGTTGTGAAGCTCAAATGAGATCATTTTAAAGCATTTGGCACAGTGCCTGGCACACAGTAAGCCCTTAATATTAGCTGTTATTATTATTATGATCATCATTTTTTTCACCCAAAATACTGTAAAGACAAAATACAGTGTGCACGTGCAGGGGAAATGAAAAAGTGAATGAGCTGGACGTGGGGTGATGAAGACCTGGGTTCAAAACCAGTCCTGATATTTAAAGAGGTCTGTCTCAGGTAACACCTTTAAGATTTGTCTACGGGGGCAGGTAGGTGGCGCCGTAGAGCTCTGAGCCTTGGAGTCAGAAGGACCTGAGTTCAAATTCGGCTCAGACACCTGATACTTACTAGCCGTGTGACCCTGGACAAGTCATTTAACCCCCACTGCCTCACCAAAAAGCAAAAAAAGATTTGTCCACTAAGTAAGGCTGGCTCAGTTTACACCTGCAGATTATGCTTTGGGTCCATGCACACAGTCATATGATCTGTAAGAGGCCATTTTACCTAAATTTCAAACAGTACACATATTCATGTTGTGAAGATACGTGTTGCTACATATTTTCCATGTTCCTTATTTACTGCCTTGAAAAGATCACATATTTTCTAGAAGGGCATGAAGAGCCTCACTCATGAGTTTAGTCTACCTATATTATCATAGTTGGCTAAATTACATACGTGGTAAAATACAGTTCAGGTCTATTCAGTGGTTGCATGTATTCAAATTTACACTATTTGAAGTTAAAATTACATAAATTATGCTAACTGGTTCTAGCCCAGTGAGAAACATGCAGTACAAATCTGAACAGTGAGATAATGGGATTCATTAATTATACTAACCAAGACCTAGCAACACTCTACCTTCAAATACATATATATGATCCCACAACTTAACTAACAAGATCTATAGCCTGAGGAAATAACTGCACCTGCTTGGACAAGCAAGGCAGATAGCACAGTGAGAGTAAACCATAAGCAAATGCTGTACTTTTAAAACAACCCTGCATGTTGGATTCATATTTCTTTGAAACCAAAAGGCACTGCCTCAATTAAAAGGTACCAACAGTTTGCCTAATATTTGGAAGCTGAAGTATGGTTAAAAAAAAAAAAAAGAAAGAAAAAACAAACCACAGGCTTGGGCATACTTACTTTTCTCTAACTTCTAATGCTTCCCCTTCCTTGTCTTTATCTTCATCAGATTTCTCTCCTTTAAGCATAGGCTGAGAAATGATGTCATCAGTGAAGGAACTAAAGTAAGATTTAATGAACTGTGGAGATGGCATCAGAGGCTCACGATTCTGCAATTTAATTATGTGATGAAATGTTAAAATAGAAAAAAAATGCTAAAGCACGTACAATTGAAGGATATAGGATAAGAAAATCAAAACTGTACTTTTAAAAATTTATCAGTAGAACTGAGGTTAAATCCAAATTAAAGCACATTCAATGGGGTTTTTTGGTTTTATATTTTGCTTCTCAGGAGTAAATCTTGCCGTGAATCATTCATTCATATGTGAATCTCAGTTAAGATGAAGGATAAAATTTGGCTAACTATACTTACTTCCAATATAGATAGCAACATACATCATCCAGTTCTTTACTTCTGCCCATATTTTCCAATGATTCCTCCATACATAATCTACCCAACAAGCTTGGCAGGGATTGGTTTAGGGTTCCCCAACATGGTACCTTGAACATAGCAAGCCCTTAATGCCCTAAGCCATAGTTAATAACTTAATACACAAGTAGGACTATAAGGATCATACCAATATAAAACAGAATTTTAAAGCTTTAAAGCTTTGTACCAATGTCAGTTGTGGTTTTTAATCATTAAATCTTATGAATGCCTGGCCAATAAGCATTCATTTAGTACCTACTATGTGTCAGGTATTGAATTAGGAGCTGGATGGCCATAACAACAAAAAATGAAACATTCTATTGGGAGAAGCAACACAGACACAAATGCAAAAAGTAACTGAAGGGGGAGGGTTGGGAGGAGAGGGCAGGAAGTAGAGCTATGGCAGAAACTAAGGATTCTAAGAAGTGGCCAAGCATCAGGACACAGGACCAGCCTGTTAAAAGGCAGAGACAGGGGACATAAAAGTCTGGAAGTGAGCGTTGCAAGCCTTAACATGGAGCTGAAAAGCTGAGGACAAATTTGAGACTGTGAACCTGCTTAATTTCAAGGATGGTAGTGCCCTTGACAAAAAAAGCAAAGGGGGAAGATGGGTTAAGATGGATTTGGAGGAAAAACCAGGTGGCTGTGAGTCTGTGGTGGCAGTAGTACACTCAGAAGGAGTAAAGGCCTGGAGTTCAGAAGAGCTACCAGGACTACAGATACGAGTCATCTATGAAAATAATTAAGTCCAGGGGAGCTGATGAAATCACCCAGCAAAGGTGAAGAGAAAGAAGAAAGCCTAGAACACAGACATGGTTGGGGTACATGTGGAGGGCAGGGAGGGTTCAAAAAATGCAGGATACTTTTAAGTTTAATCTGCATTATTAACATTTTCTCTATCATTTTAAGTCTTGACAATCAATAAAATAATAATCAAACACTAATTTGTAGCATTTGTTGATTTCCAAGGTATAAATGCTCACACTGAAAATTAACAATCAGCTCTAGTATACCCCTGAGTACCCTCACAATTAGGAACTTATAATAATCCAGCAAAGGACACAAAAAAGGAAGCCAGGAGGGTCAGAGAGCCAGGAGAGAGGAGAGGTGAGAGAACGAAGAAGTTGGCTGCAAAAGTTGAAGTAAAGAATGAGTGAAAAAAATGTCATCACAATTCCAAAGGACTCAAGATGAAAAGTGCTATCCAACTCCAGAGAAATAACTGATAGATTCTGAATGCAGACTAAAATATATTATTTTTCATTTTTGGGGGAATGAGTCTGTGTTTTCTTTAACAACACGATTATCATTCCCCAACTGACAAATGGTCAAAGGATATGAACAGGCAGTTCTCAGATGAAGAAATTAAAGTCATCAAGTCATATGAAAAAATGCTCTAAAGCACTATTGATTAGAGAAATGCAAATCAAAATAACTCTGAGGTACCACATCATACCTATCAGATTGGCCAACATGACAAAACAGGAAAATGATAAATGCTGGAGAGGATGTGGGAAAATTGGAACACTAATGCATTGTTGGTGGAGTTGTGAAATGATCCAACCATTTTGGAGAGCAATTTGGAACTATGCCCAAAGGGCTATAAAAATTCAGCAATAGCACTTCTGAGGCTATATCCCAAAGAGATCATACAAATGGGAAAAGGACCCACATGTACAAAAATATTTATAGCAGCTCTTTTTGTGGTGGCCAAGAATTGGAAATTGAGAGGATTCCTACCAACTGGGGAATGGCTGAACAAGTTGTGGTATATGAATGTAATGGAATACTATTGTGCTACAAGAAATGATGAACAGGCTGACTTCAGAAAAACCTGGAAAGACTTATATGGTCTGATGCTGAGTGAAGTGAGCAGAACCAGGAGAATGTTGTACACAGTAACAGCCATGTTGTGTGATGACTAACCGATAGACTTAGATCTTTGTATTGCTAAGAAGGGCTAAGACACCTCCAAAGGTCTCATGATGGAAAATGCTCTCTCCACATCCAGAGAAAGAATAATGGAGTTTGACGGCAGATCGAAGCATACTATTTTTTTTTCTTCTGTTGCGTTTTGTTTCCTTTTTCCGGTGGTTCCTCCTATTGGTTCTAATTCTTACCTATAACATCACTAATGTGAAAATATGTTTAATAGGAATGTATACGTATAGCCTATATCAGATTGCATGCTATGTTGCAGAGGGAAGTGGAAAGGGAAGGGGAGAAAAATATAAAACTCAAAAGCTTATGGAAATGATTGTTGATAATTCAAAATTAATTAAAAAAAAAACAACATGACTAATAAGGAAATCAGTTTTGCATGATAGCTCATGTACAACCTACATTAAATTGCTTACCATCTTAGGACAGAAGAGAAGGGAGAGAATTTAGAACTTAAAAAAATGAATTATAAACTGTTTTTACATGTAATAATGATAAAAATCATTAAAAGAGAAACTATCAAGGATAAAAAGGAAAAGAAAAAATGTCAAAGATGGCAATTAATAAGTCACTGGCAAAAGCAGAGAGAACACTTTTAGTTAAGTGATAAGACCATTAAAGCGCCCAAGGCCAGCTACCTGTTTCTCCCTCTCCTTGAAATTCTAATAAGGTCTAAACAAGGCACAGACACTAAATGTCCAATACCCTGTGTTGTTAAGTTGTATTAACAAGTTTCTCTAATTAAACATCTATGAGTATACAAAGAAATTCAATGCATATGATGTGATTAATAATTCAGTTCAAGGATTAGCTTGAATTTTACAACTTCAATATTCTTTAAAAACAAAGACATAATTAAAACAAAAATATTATTCCATGATTTTTTCATCCTGAGTGCCTCTAGCACTGTTTAGATATGTGGGTGTTTAATTTCAGTTGTACCCAACTCTTCGTGAATCTTTTTGGGGTTTTCTTGGTAAAAATATTAGAGCGGTTTTCCATTTCCTTCTCAGCTCATTTTACAGATGAGGAAACTGAGGCAAACAGGGTTGAGTGACTTGCCCAAGGTCAGACAGTTACTAAGCATTTGAAGTCAAATTTGAACTCAGGTCTTCCTGACTCCTGCCCTGACACTCAATCCAGTGAGCCATCTAACTGCCCTCACATAGGTGGACAAGTGAATTTAAAAAAAAGGACAAATTGTGGGGAAGGGCCCAAAACAAGAAGCTTCCTTACATCTGGTAAGGAAAGGCCAAATGACTTATCAGCCACTCCCTCTAACCCAGAAACTATTTGCAATAAATTTCACAAAATGCTTTACACATATTAATTCACTTGATCCTCACACAACCCTGGTGCTATATTATCATCCTCATTATACAAAAGAAGAAACTGAGGCACAGAGAGGTTAAATGACTTTGAAGGCAAGTAAGCCAGTACTTACTTAGCTAGTAAGATTCTACAGCAAGATTTGAACTCAGGTGTTTCTGATTTCAAGTTCTGAGCTCTAATCATTTCACAACCACTCAGTTGTCTAATTAGCTCTGCACCCATAAAAAGATCTTCTGTAAAACATGTTTCTTAAAAACTTTCATGCTACAGACTCATTTTCCCAAACCTCTTAGAAATCAATTAAGTTAGAAGGCAGGGAGCATCAAAACCACTGAAAACCTCAACCATCCAGGCTAACAGTACAAAATGATCAGTCATACAAGGCAGCTACACAATTCAAAACTAGTTCCAATTTAAGATCTTCATTCCTGGCAGCACATCCCAAATATAAGATGCAGAGTTGAACTGATCCTTCTTCACATTAATTGAATAATCTCTCAGAACACAAATAAAGTTTACCTTGTATTTATCTTTGGCTTTTTCTTTCCCAAGAAGTTTAAGAACTTTATCAGCTAACAGCATGCTTTGTTGATTCTGGAAGCCTTCTAAAATACAAACTGCTGTGACATCTAGGAGTAGAGAGAAAAATAAGGATCCTTATCCATTAAAGTATCATGACAACGGAAATACCAGCATTAACTTCACAATAAAAAAAAAATTTCAAAAAGTAGCAACATGAACTTTAGGGTGTGGCCACATAAACTAAGAAACTGAGCCATTACAAGCTGATTAATTATATCCTGTAGCTAAAGAGGGAACAACGAAAACTTTAGTAAAGTACTCTACAACCAGTATGGTCAACTCCTTTCCTGTTGGGCCTCACCTGTCAAATCAGAGGACTGGACTAGATGAGGAGTTTCTTAACCAGTAGTCCATGAATAGATTTCAAGGTGTCTGTGAACTTGGATGGGAAAAAAAAAAATCACATCTTTATTTCAACATAATTGGTTTCCTTTACAATCCTATCTATTTTATTTTATGCAGTTTAACAACATTATTCTGAGAAGGGCTCCATAAGCTTCACTAGACTACCAAAGAGATCCAAAACTCTTGGACTAGGTATCTTTAAGGTCCTTTTCTACTGTAAAATTCTACAAATAGTTTATGGATTAGAACCAAGTTCTTAACCTTGTGCATCACAGACCTCTGTGGAAGTCTGATACAACTTCTGGACTCCTCAGAATGTTCTTAAGTGAATAAAGTACACGGAATTACAAAGGAAACCAATTGTACTGAAATAAAGATATAATTTTTCTCCCATCTAAGTTCCCAGAACACCTGAAATTTATTGATGGGCCATAAGGGGTCTGTGGATCCCAGGTTAAGATTCACTGGATATGTCCTCTCTAGGTAACATGCTATCAGTTGAAACTTATTAGCCAGTATGGCCCAAATCACAAACACTGACTCCCGCTGCCACCTTAAAAACTATTTTTGTGAAGCTACACCATTGTTCAAAGTAAGAGAAATGGCAACTAAATGTCACATTCAGAGCCTCCAACGATAGACTGGATGCCTGTCTACACCTTCAAACTACTTTTGCTACCTGACTTTTCACTACCGCACATTCTCTCTCTGAGATCCAAGACAATATGCTCATAATTGCTCATACTAATTTTTGCCTTCCCTAGTGAGCTTGTCAATTCCTTCTAACTCTTCCCTGTCAATCTAAGCTTATTCTTTCTTTCAAATTATTATGTGGTTCAATATTCTTGAAGTCCAGAAGAACTGAAGCAAAATCTCAGACCTAAATAGAGAAGATACTGAAGCTAATAATTTGGTTAACAGGGGTTTTTTAAAGCCAAATCTACAGTAGTTTAATAAACAAATACAAAAACGCACTTACCTTCTAAACACTCTTTCTTATTGTCTAGTTTCTCATGGGCTTTTGCACGTCTAAAGAGAGCTTTCACATATCTGGGATTAAGCTCAACAGCTTTTGTACAATCTTGTGCCACCTCTTTCCACTTTTGCTGCAATTTAAAGCAAAAACACCATCCTAAAGGAATAAACTTAAGAGTACCTATCTTGATTTCACCAAGTCACAAAGAAAAAAAAAACCTATTGTAAATAACATTAGTTTGGAAAGAATCCCCAAAGGATCAAATCAGTTATTGGATTTGAGTAAACAGCACTAAATTAAATTTCAGTTTGGCAAATTGATATAATAGCACAAATTAACAGGAAAAAAGTCTATGACATACCAGTTGTTCAAATGCGGCAGCTCTGTTCTGATAAAATGTAGACAGGTCAGCTTTTTTCTCTGTAGGGCATAAACTGATGGCTTCTGTATAGCACTGAATGGCTTGCTCATATTTTCCTGCTTTAAAATACTTGTTGCCTTTGTTCTTTGCTGCTTGGGCTCTATCAAGAGGACTCTGAAAAGGAGAGAATAATTACCATCCACTATATAACAGAGAAACAGACTCAGATCCATAGTAACCAATAACATGGTTTTAAATGATCTGTAGTATAACCACTACGTAGCAGATCCAGTGAAGATCATCTTAACAATGAGCACATTCACTATCTAATAAGCTAGGGCATTGGCTCTAGGCCCTAAAGAAACCTTTTAAGTATCCACATTTCTACAACTGTACCAGTGAGCAAAATTTGAAAATCCCCAAATTAGTACAAAATACGAAAAGTAACCATAATAAAATGGATTTAGAAATATGGTGATAGAATCTCAGAACCAGAGAAGCCCAGAAAGGTCGAATGGCTCATCCGACTACATATTGTGACAGAAACAGGACTCCTGACACCCAAAGCTAACACTTTATTAAATGCATTAATACTTGACAAAAAGGACCTTTACATTAAAAGGCTGGTAAAACACCATTAACTGTTGGTTAGAATATTAACAGATTAAAGAGCCTTACCCAAGTGAATCACACATAACTACAAAAAGGCAAATTGAGACCATTTGAAAATATATGTGTTCCTTTAGAATTTGGGATGCACAAGCATTACTCATATGAAAAGTCGGGACAAGGGGGCTGGGGAGGGGCAGGACGTAGCTCCTAGCATCAAGGACGTAACCATGTTGGATTCAAAAATGGCCCCCAAAATATGAAACCTGAGCTTGGTTGCTGGGGAGTAAGTTGGACTTGTACCCAGCTCACATGCAGTGCTGTGGAATGCCCAAGAAAGTAACAGTGGATAAAATGCAGAATGTACTGCCATGATAGCAATGAATAAAGTGTACCAAATGAACTTTGAGCCAGTGGGTTTAAAGCAGTGGGGTTCATTTGGTTTTCTGACTGGGCACTTTGCAAACTTTAGTGCCTGATTGCTTCATCACTGACTTTTAACTCAGTCACTCGTAGCTTTATTGGTCTGAATCAACTTCTTGTTCCAAGGTTACAGACTTGCTTACTGGTCCAACAATCCTGTTTCACTTGAATGAAGGAAGTATGTCTTAAAATGTAACGTTTCTGGTTCTCACACTGTACTCTGAGGTCCAAATGACTGTCAATGTGTAACCTGATGTGTCAATCTCCCAGTAAGAGTAAGTGTTTGGGTATTCACTGGATTGCGAGGCTTCACAAGAACAGGCTTTTGCTTTGGGCTCTGCTGTTTATTTGCAGAAAACCCAAGTGTGAACAAACCTGATGTCTTCGCAGCAGTACCTTAGGGTTTTGCCATTGTAAATGGGTCTACCGTGATATGACAAGACCAGAAAAATTGGACGCAAATTTATGTATCTGAATATACTGCTTGTTATTTCACGTGATACATTTGGGGTACACAGCTCCTTTTTTTGTAGTTTTTATTTTTACTATTTAAGTTTGAAAACGATGCCAAATTTTTGTATTTCTTTAATCAATGTGTTCTCTTCGGTCTCATATATTGCATTATATATTGATGTGTGTATCAATATATACTTATATGTATTACACTTACACATACACATATGAAGGGGTGAAAATCGCAGCCTTCACATTCTTATAGCATCTGCAGAGAGATTCTAAGCAGCAAAATCTTGGTGTTGTGATGTATAGAAATGGAGAAGAGTATTAAACCATATTTAAAAATTAAAAAAAAAGATAATACATTTGTTCCTTTAATCTTTATTTGTGTTTCTAGTATTTTCTCCAGTTTAGTGCCATACTCATTTTGAAGGCATGGAATTGGATCTCAACAGAATCTCAAAAAGCCAAATGGTCTTTGCCTAACCTGAACGAAAGTATTCTCTAAAACATACTGACAAGTGGTCACCCAGATTTATGCTTGAAGGTCTCCAGTGAAGGGGATGGAGACACTTTCAGTATGAGAGACAGAACTTCCAGAAGACTTTATGGAAAACAAAACAAACAAACAAAAAAACAGTCAGTGAACAAAGAAGCTCTCTGGATTTTGGGTAAAAAAGAGTAACTACTGTTTGAACCAAGCTAATGAAATAATAACACCTATATAACTAAGTAGTATGTTCAATACTTCTTGGCAAGAGGTAACTAGATGAAGATGAATGACTTTAGGCTGTATACATATGAGTAGTCAGAAAAACAGGTTTTCCAGATTGTTTTCTTTTATATCTTCTCATATTACTAAATGAGCAGTGCTGGTGTGAAGGCCACTCAATCTTGAAACTCCTGCCATAAACTGTCAACTCATACTACATGTATTCATCTGTTTATTCAACAGATGAGTCTCCTTAGTTGGCACAAGCTGTATATTTATAAGTATTTTCATGGAAAAATTATATTTAATAAGTCCCAAAATTAAATTTTATACATTTAATATATTTCAAATCCTCACTTCTACTCTACATATGAATTACTAATACTGCAATGTGCTATAATGAAAAGACCTGGAATTAAATCCTAGCTCTGCTACTTATGACCTGTGTGACTTCCCTTCAGTTTTCTCTTCCAAAAATGATGGCGCTGGACTAGTTGACTTTTAAGGTCAACTTCTAAGCCATGAGCCTGTGAATTTCAACTATAGCCTTAGATATAAATAGAAAAAAAAATCAGTTTTGCACCCTCCCTTGTAAATAATTTAATAGAAAAAAAATTATGACTGCATCAAAAGGATAAAAACCAGAAGTAAAGCAATATTTAAAAATGAAAGTCAGTTTCTTGCACTGTCCAAAATTTAATTTAAGTATGGACATGGCAAATAAGTTACTAATTTCTCACCTTGCTATATAAGACAATTTTTTTATTAAATAGAAATATAACAATTGAACTAATTTCCCCCCTTGCTATGTAAGACAAATTTTTTATTAAATAGAAATATAACAATTGAAAGAGACAGGATTAGACCAAAAAAACCATTTTTGATCATACTCTACATGCTTCATCCAGTGTTCAGTTTATGATATTTATCAAAACAAACTGAATAAATCATTCATAAGGTTAAAAAATAGTAGATCATCCTAATTTAGGACTAAATGGAACAGAAATCTTTTCCAAGCTCCAGGTGACAGCCCTCTTCCCATAAAAATACCATACAATCCAACTATCTGCCCATGAGCCGAACTTGTAAAATAGACAGCACAAAGCATACCTGAGCTCTGTGTGACCAATATAAGTCAGTCCCTTTAAAAAATTGGTTGATTTAAATGATGCAAGATGTTACAGGCAAATTGGCACCATTGCAGGATTAGTTCTATAACCCAAATCATCTCCATCATCCTCTTTTCTACTTCTACTACCTGGTAAAGGTCCTCACTATTACCTACCTGAACTACTTTATGGCAAAGGACTCAAGTTTGGTCTTCTGAATCCCATTATCTCCTCGCTCTGGCTAATCCTAATGCATGGGGATCTGGTCACGACATTTTGGGGCTCAAAACACTTCAGTGATTCTTTTTTGAATAAAATTTATATTTCTTTGCATGGTATTCCAGGCACTCCATGATTTGATAAATTTCCACCTCTCCAATGTTATATCAAAATGACTCCACTACATATGACCCGTATTGGACTTTTGTCAGTCATAACATTATGCTTTTCCATTTCTATGCCTTTCTATACCCTATTCCTTATGCCTAGGAATTAATCCCATCTTTCTTCATGTTGAATTTTCCACCTATTTTAACTTAAACATTACCACCTTCTCCATGAAACTTTCCTTCATCCTCTTAAGAATCTTCCTTCATTACTTGAGCCTCACATAGCACTGTGTACCTCTTTTAAACACTTTATTATTAAACTTTTTTGTATGTATGCATCTTAGAGAGCTAAGTTCCGCCTAAATTTTAAATTTTGCCAGTGCTAGCATAACACTTAAAAGAAATTTTTTAAATGAATTTGACTGCTTCACAAGGAATTTCTGAGCATTTTTAACTCTGTAAACACATTTATTGCCTGCAGCCAAGGCTATGCTTCTTGCATACACAACAAAATTTTCACTGGGAGAAGAAAAAAAAAAAAAACCCCAGAAATATTTGTGTTTGCCTAAAAACACTTTTAGAAGAGCTAGACATTAGCTTCAATTGCCCAATGACATCAAGCACTTATTTGATGAGTGTGGTAGTACCTACACCTAACAAGTGGATTAGGAGAAGGCTGCAAAACTATGGAACACCAATCATGAAAGAATCAAAATTATGGTTAACCTAAATGGCAATGGAAAAGAGATACATGAATGGGGTAAGGTAGGCTGTATCTTGGTTAACAGTGAATTTAGGATTCATCCTAGAAAAGTAGACCAGTCATGTAGAAAGAGCAGGAAATTAAGATTAAAAACTAAAATAGGGATAGTGTTTGGAGAAGGATTGTGGGTATACTGAGTAATTAAGTTCAGACTACTAGGTAGTGGCTAGTTAAAGTGACAAATGGGCTTTTTTTTTTTATACATACACTAAGTTGAGAGAGAGTGCTAAAAGGAAGATCAAGAAATTTGCTAATTCAGAATGATTTGGGTTTTACTCCAACAACTGTGATAGGTTTGTGCATCAGGAAAAGTTCTTTTACATTTGGGAAATTTTACTCCACCTCACTCTCCTATTCAATTTATACATACTAATGAATAATTTAAGTCAACAGGTTGCATATGCACAGCATATATAGTTTGGACAAGAGCCATGGATTGCTAGACTAATCTCTCTATGCTATAAGTCATGAAAAAAACTTGGAAAAAATAAAAAGAACTATCACCCAGGAAATGTATGATTGGAAAAGATATTGGAAAAGTTATTCACATACTAAGAATAAAAAGTAACTAGCCAATGAATAGCTGGAACACTGAATTAGTACATAAGGGATGTTAAAAGACCTAAAAGAAAGTAGAGTAGAAGAATGCCACAAATCATACCCTACTGACATCTGAACCAACTAAGATGATTGAAGTGTTTATTTCAGGAACTTTGCTAGGTGGGGTCTTGTCATACAAAAAGGAATAAAGGTAATTCTTATATTCAAGGAGC